ACTCTAAGCTAGAAACTAAAGACACAAAAATAATAGAATATTCTTCCTCCTATGTTCTATTCCTCGATTCCACCATATAAACCTATTTGCTATCACTATGAATTATTATCTAAAAGAACAGAGAGAAAAAAAAACATACCCATGCCCCAGGAATCAATGGCCCATGGAGGAGACTTCTTAATTGCATCCCAGTCTGATTTTGCCAACTCCATTGGTTTGTACTGTGATCCAACAAGCCATGCATATTGCTGAACAGGAAATATGATAACTTGTGAGCAGAATATTTGGTCTCCCAATTCCATACCTTTATTTCTAAATAAAGAAGCCAGACCAAATCACTACAAGGGAGCATCCAAAATATCAAATTTGTCATAAATCATATGAAAGTCGTAAAGTTAGAGATGACCAAAATGTGTGAACAGACTTAAGGCTGCAAACGAACTAGCATGACATGGCCATTTAAGTGTTACGTAAATTCAAATAGCAGTGCCAAAACTATCAAGGAAACAATATATTGAAACAGAAACACGTATATACCAGCATTTGACCAGAAGATGTTTCATTGCTCCCATCAAACTCAGATAGAACATCGAAAGCGTGAAGCTTCCAGTCCAAAGTCGGTGTAACAACAACACTAGCCAAGCAAACATTACCGTGAATCTGCAACAAATAAAACTTGTCAATAAATGATTAAAAAAATGAGTAAAAAGAAAGAAACTCATAAATACTCACAAGTTTACAATCATTATTCAAGAAGCTCACAGCTTTAGCTATTTGATGAAGACCCAAAGCATAATATTCATCCCTAAACCAGCAATAACTCTTCACTAAACCAGCAACAACTCTTCACCCAAAAAAACTATAGAACTCCACGCATGCAATAACTCTTCACCCAAAAAAAACAACAATAACTCATTTGATACCTTTGTGTACCTTCAAGCCCTAACTCCTTGATTTTCTCAGACAGCGGCATCACAGGTTCAGTCACAATATATATCGTAACCTTCGGCGAACCTGCATCGTAAGTCTCAATCTCAGCGCTGTGAAGAAACGACAATATATTCGGATGCCTAACCTGAAAACCAGCACCACAAAGCCCTGTAAAAACCACGCAATCCACAATTCCAAATCAAAAAAAAAAAGAACACTAAAAATTCAAAAATTTCGAAACTCACAGTTCGAAGACGCTTGACGCCGTTGCGCGCAGCAGCTAAGTGGCCGTCCTGAGCATTAGAGCCAGAGAGAGAAAAGACAGAGACAGGAGAACCGTCATCCTGAAACAGTGGCGTGGCAGTGTTATACAAAAAATAACCGAATAAGCACACATGAAAACATAGTCAGTGTACACCTAATTGAAATTCTTCGCTTCAATCTATCTGGCGTTATCTCACTGTATAAGCTATCTCTATAGGTGTAGATTAGATTTAGGTGTTCGTGAAACATATATTAGTGAATTGAAAGGGAAAATGCGGAGACTACCTTGGAGGTGCCGCGAGAGTGAGTCCAGGAGCCCCAGGCGGAAGGGAAAGGTTCGGCTATGTTATACGGTAGATCCTTGACGCCGGTTCCAGATCCACCAACGACCTCTTTGAGGAATTTGAACATGGTGATCGGAATCGGCAAGAGCGCGCGGTGGCGGTGGCTGTGGCGGTGGCGAAAGAGAGGGAGAGGGCGCTAACCACCGACGGTGGATGGATGGATGGATCTGATCGAGTGTTGCGCTGTCCAGTGGTGCACACGCGAGACCGTTAGGCAAGGTGAAACACACACCTGTTTTGTATTTGTGAAGCAGTGTTCATAAGCTCCAATTTTCAGATTAATTGGTCCCTTGAAATTGGGGAATATACACTAAAATTACAGGATCTGGATGCAGGGTCACTGCAGTATAGTAAAACAGCAATTCATTCTAAGAGAAGACCTTTTTTTTTTCTTTTTTTCTTTTTTTCTTTTTTTTCTTTTTTTCTTTTTTTTTTTTTAAAGCAAGATTTTTATTCATCAAAGACTAAAACCTTCTTACATTTACAGCAATTTACAATATGTATTGAAATTACTGTTTTCATTCCAAAACTATTATTTTTTGACAATTCTAAAGTACCTTTAATTATTTGTTTTCACTTGTACCCTTATTTTATAATTATTACAGTAGTAATTTGTTAAGATTAAAGAAATGAAGATATTTTAGTCTAAATATAGCAGCAATTTTTATTTCATGTGCTCTTCAATTAGATGTATTAACCTTAAACGTTAATAAATATGCAATGAAAAGAATTAACAACTTGTTTTTCAATCCAATAGTGTACATAATTTAATTATCATCTATTATAAGATACTGTGTATGAGAAGTTTTTTTGTTGACTTTTATAATAACTACTTCAAATAACAATGATTTGCGAATATCAATAAAATAATTATTTTTGTGTGGGTGAGAATGTAAAACTATTTTACATTAGTTTTATATTCGCATCATAAGCGTTAAAGTGTTGATCGATTGGTGTGTTATATTAAGAATGAAAATAGATGCGTTCGTGAAAGGGGAGAAGGACATGGTTGAAAGGTGACTGAAAAAGAAGTTGGAGGTTAGGACAATGCAAGAGGGTGTGGTTGAACATTGGAACTCTGAGATAAGTTTTGTTTGACTTGATAATATGGGTTTGATTTATTTTGATGAATATGAATGTAACTTTATCTAGTTTAACATGTATTTAATGTTTGATTTGATAAATTCAATACAATCTAGTTTGATTTAATTTAGTTCAACATAAATTTTATTTGATTTAGTTTAATATAGATTTGACTTAACTTGATTTGTCGTAATTCTGATTTAATTTAGCCTAATGTAACCCGATTCAACTTAACTTAATTTTATTTGGGTTTGACTCAACTTTATTTTATATGTGTCTAATTCGAATTTATCATAAGCGGGTTTTACTTGACTTAACATGAAGTGGTCAAATTATACTTGATCTAACATGGATTCAACTCAATTTAGTTTGATGTGAGCTTGATCTAATTTAACCTAACATGGACCTACTAAAATCCACTTAACGTGGGTCATACTCAACTTGACATAAGGTGTACTCAACATGGTTAGACCCAACTTGGACTTGGCTCAACCCAGTCTAACATGGGTCTAACACAAGTTATTATAACTTGAACAACCTTGACTTGACTTGTACCCAACTTAATATTGGCCCAACCAATCGTAACATACTTAACTTGAGCTCATCCAACAATGGCTATACTAATTTGGGATTGATTTGTGCAAATTTGGATCTCACTAAATCTGACCTTAACGACTTGACTTGGTCACATACGTCAAACATGTCTCAATTTTACCAAATATGTGTAAAACCAAAATCAGTATGACATAACTTGGCTTGATTCGTGCTAAACTCAACTCAACATAACTTGGATCATACTTAATTCAACTTCTTATTGACTCGATTTGTCTCAATCTGACCTAGGTTCATCTAGACAAGTCCGACATGATATCAACTTGACTTAACCCAACCTAAAGTCAACCTACATTTACTCAAAATAAATAGGATAAAGATAAATAAATGTTTTTCTTGTGTATAAATATATTTTAAGTATTTTTTGTTTGTTTTAAAAGTGGTCAATAGGTTAATCATGATCTATGGACTTTTATATTAAGAAGAAGGTTAAAATCCTTATCTAGTATTAATTTTGGTTTAAATTATTCAATCAGATTCATTTTTTTAATTGTCTCATTTTTTTGTTAAAATAAATTAATTAGTTCATTTTCGTTGGCATAACGTTGTATTTATAGATGTTACATGACAATTTGTAGTATTTTTAAATTTTTTATTTCTTATTTATTTTTTTTGTCATGTATCATCACATGGTTGTGTCATATAACAATGTCAGTGTCGTGTATCAATGTTAGTAACACATGATAACATAAGTGGCACGTGTTAGTACTAGTGTTATGTATCAGTGTAAAGATCAAGTAACAATATTTTGTATTTAATTGAATTCCTATATTTGAAATTTGACTCAATCTAGTCATATTTTTAAAAAAAAATATTAATCATCTCCAAAATCAAATAAATTAATAATTAAATTTAATTACAATATATATATATATATATATATTATATATATATATATATATATATATATATATATATTAGAATTTATACATCAAATTATCATACTAAAATATTCAAATTAATTTTTATTTTTAATTAAATCTTTTAGAAAATACCCATTTTAAACTTGTAATATTTTGAAAACATTAAAAATTAAAATATAAAGTTATTCTTGTAATTTTTAAATTTTAATATTTGAAATAATTTTTAAAAAATATATTTTTATTTTGTTTAAAAAACAATATTTGAAATAATTTGAAAAACTATACTTTCCTTTGTTTAAATTTTTGTATTTGAAGTGATTAAAAAAGTTGTTTAAAAAACTGTATTTTTTTTGTTTAAAAGCCTATTTTCAAATATTAAACATTAAAAATTATATATATTACTTTACATTTATATTTTCAATATTTAAAAAAGGTATAAATTTAAAATAAAGATTTTTTATTAAATTAAAAATATAAAAAGTAAAATTAATTTAAATATTTCGGTGAAGTGTTTCTAATTATACTAAAATGTATATAGCACACTATCACCTCGTACTAAGAGTAAGACGCTCACACTTATATTAGCAGTGACACAATCATAACCATAATCTAATAAGTGGTTAAAAACTTTAACAAAACTAAAAATGCTACAAAGTTTTACTTGTGTTGTGGTACGGGCAAAGACAACATTAACTTAGAACTAACCAAAATAAACATCATTTTAACAAAAAAAAAAAGGACTTAATTAAAAGTAAAAAAAAAAATTGAATAATTGAAATAAAAATTAATACCAAATATTTTAGCATAGTAGAAATTTCACGAATTACTTGAATTTAATGACTGACTTTAAACATAATTTATTGGGACAAAAAGAAAGTGTGAAAAAGATGGACTCGTAAAAATGGTTGAAAGAGAATTGTAAAGTTGCGTGTGTGAAATTAGGAGGGTGAGAGGGACGAGCATGGATCATAGTCCATAATTCTCAGTGTTGATTTGTCTTCTTCCCTTCCAATTCCAATCCAGGGTAAGCCTAAACTAAACCAAACTCTGTTGATACTTTGCTACAATTAGAGAGAAACAAAGACAAAGAAACAGAATCAGGTCTTCCCCAACCTCAAGCAACAAAAAAACCACCGGCCATTTCCATTTGACCATCATTGCTACTTTTGAAAGGAAACTCTAAACCCCATATGAATCACATGCTTTCCATCTCATAACACAACAACCCCACTTATATTAATTCTTCTCTTCTCTTTTCCTTTCTTCATTCCTCATTACCATGGTTTCCCTGTCAACCACCACCCCCTTTCTACCCTTCACTGCACAAAACGCTTCCACCAGAATCCCTCCTCCCAACACCTTCCGTTACACCAACCACCGTCATAGGGATCACCGGAAGGTTGTGTGCGCCTGCATCGCACCTCCGCAGAACTTCAAGAGCCAGGACTCTTCCCCTGTTAATTTCAATGTAAATGTCTATACTTTGATTTCGCTTTTTGGTTCAGTAATCAGATTTTGTTGTTGGGGTTGGTGTTAAGTGAGTCTGGGGTTCTGGGTACACACAAAGTTTCTTTTTTTTCCTTCCAATGGATATCTGGCTGACATCAAGGTTGTTGCCAGGGTTTGCACAAATCAGAACAGCTGAGCGCGGCGCGGGATCAGGATGATGATTCTGATGTTCTTATTGAGTGTAGAGATGTGTACAAATCTTTCGGGGAAAAGAAAATCTTAAATGGTGTCAGCTTCAAGGTGAGGGGTTTTGTACTTGACAATGGTTTTGGTTATATCACTTTGCTATGCACTTGTAGGAAAGGAAAATGAATTGAGTTTTTTTCCTTGACTTAAATTCAATTTTAACACTGAACTTTCATTGAACCTCTCTCTTATAACTTCCGTGAAAGGTAAAGTAGATAAGTTAATCATAACTATGAGAGAAACTAATTTCATTTTATCTTTTTATTGTTTTCTCCTGTAAATGATTATAGAGAAATTTATGCAACATGTCCATAGCCTTGTGTTTGGTTTGTTTCTTTCGTTGTTTTCTGTCGAGTGTGCTATCTAGCATGAAATAATGAAGTGGTGAATGCTTACAACAATGACAACCAAGTCTTGACCCTTGTGTTAGGTTTGTAACACGGACCGAACAACTTTGTTGATCACCATTAGCAACCTGTTTTTTTATTAATTCATTTAGGGAAAGAAGTGGGTTAAATGAAAACCAGTTGTCAATAGGGTCGTCTTAAAAGTTTTGGAGGCTATGTTCTAACCACGAAAATTAGATCCATCCATATTTGGTATGCAAAAAAACAAAATAAAAGGACGGTGCAAATTTGTGAGCTTTTAAAATATGGAGTCTCAATAAAAGAGGGTCTGCTTGAACAGGTTGTTTTACGGGCCTAATTGTCGGTAGGATTAGGGGAGGGGATATCTAGCTGACTTGGAGTTTGCTAATTTTTTTTTCTTTTTTATATAATGAATAGATCAGGCACGGTGAAGCTGTTGGAATAATTGGTCCCTCTGGGACTGGTAAATCTACAGTTTTGAAGATTATAGCAGGACTTCTTGCTCCGGATAAGGTAAGTATCTGATTTGAGATTTTGGTTATTTGATTTTAGTTTCATTCAAATGAGTTCATTTCTTGAATGCTATCACTGTCAAACTAACAGGGGGAAGTTTACATTCGAGGAAAAAAGAGGGTTGGTTTAGTAAGCGATGATAACCTATCTGGTCTTCGGATTGGATTAGTAAGTGTCAGAGTAATATGCAATGTGCTACTTCTTGGGCGCTACTATGCTTCCATTGTAATTTTCTACATTTAATCTGTAAACAGGTTTTCCAAAGTGCCGCACTCTTTGATTCTTTGTCTGTTCGTGAAAATGTTGGTTTTCTCTTGTAAGACAACTTCCCCTTTTAAACTTTAGTTCATTTTTTACATTGTCGTCTAAAATGTGATAAAGTTGATTGATTAAATAGTTTTTTTCTCTTCTGTTCTTCTAAGACTATTTTATTTGTTTTGTTTCTGACCTTTTTAATTGTTCAGGTATGAACACTCGAGTATGTCTGAGGACCAGATATCAGAGCTTGTCAAGGAAACTTTGGCTGCAGTTGGATTGAAGGTATGCATCTGGTTCAAAACCATGAACACCAGGCAGCAGATACTGCATAAAGGGTAGCAGCAGTGGCATACATTTGCTTTCTGCCACTGAGAAAGTTGCCCCATACTCATACTACTGGATTGCTGTTACTACTGCTTTCTTCCATTTTTGTTGCATAGTCATTATGTTTTACAAAAGATTAACTTATCACCCGTTTTTTACAGGGAGTTGAAGATCGGTTGCCTTCTGAATTATCAGGTGGGATGAAAAAGCGAGTTGCTTTGGCTCGTTCTATTATCTGTGACACCACAAAGGAATCAATTGAGCCAGAGGTGTGTTAGCTTCCCATTTCTATCCTCTGTTATTGTTTAAAATTTTTACTACCAGAGAAGAGTGCATTGGAACTTTAATTCTTGGGTCCTTATGTTTCAAGCATAAGTGAGTCATTAGTTTCAAAGCAGCGTTACAGGAGGGGGTGGATATTAGGCACTCCTAGTTTAGTTCATGTTAAAAATATGAATGAAGGACTAAAGAGGGATTTGAATTGTGACAACCTTGCTTACATAGCGAGGAGGGTAGAGATTGGTTAGAACTATAGTTACTATAGTTGATGGCTCAAGTTATCTGTATAATCACTTATGAACTATAGTCATATGAAAGCCTGCCACTTTGTGTTGGTTACAATAGGAAAAAAGAACAATAGTTGATGGCTCAAGTTATCTGTATGGTCACATAAATTTCCAACAATGGAGATTATTTTTGGATCTAACATGGTGTAACATTTACTGTTTTTCAATCAACATGTGGCCTCCTCTTCTCTCTCTTCTGTTTATAAAATATACACATCATCACTCTGTACAGGTGCTTTTATATGACGAACCAACTGCTGGACTTGATCCTATTGCATCTACTGTTGTTGAGGATCTGATTCGCTCAGTGCACATAAAAGGACGAGATGCTCGTGGAAAACCTGGGAATATTGCATCTTATGTGGTTGTTACTCACCAACATAGTACCATTAAAAGAGCCATTGATAGGTGATAAATTTTTTCATAATGATTGGATGTGTTTCCTGTCCCCTTAAGCCTCTTAATTGGCCCAGAATTCATGCACCCTAATTTGCTAAGTTACTTCATAAATACAGATTGTTGTTTCTACACAAGGGAACGATTGTTTGGGAAGGAATGACTCATGAATTTACAACTACAACAAATCCAATTGTTCAGCAGGTTAGTTGTGTTGCTTTAAGAGTAAACAAGGACTTGTTTCTGAAATCTTTTACTGTGGGACATCAATTTCTTATCTAGGGGCGGTATCTAAATATAATATTTAGAAAGGTTTATATATGTTGGTTTTTAGAATCAAAACAGTAGCAGCTTGAAGCTAAAATGCTTCTTTATTATTGATTGTAAAATAATGAAAAACGTTACAATATTTAAAACCTGAAAAAGTAACTACCTACTAACATTTTTATCCTAATTTTAATCCACTACTTCAACCCATAATTAAAAATTAACTAAATCCTAAAAACAAGGAACTGACTTTGACTCAATTAAAATTAAAAATAAAATATTCCTAAAGCATTTTCTTAACACTCCTTCTTGCTTTAAGAACTGATCAATCTGGCTTCAGTAAAAAGTTTCTAAATCTTGAACTCTGAGTTCCAACATAACCCTTCTTCACAGCTTCAATGTTGACTTTATTAGCACTTTTAGGCTCCTCTTCTTCGTCTTCATAGTTAAGAAGGTCATCCTCGTACGTCTCGTTCCAATAACGTACTAAACTGTTTCCTGATTTGTCTATGGTCACCCATGATACAATCATGGCCCTTCCCACACAGTCACCTATTATTATATGAACCTGCTGAGGAGCATTATAGCTAGAACGGGCAACAAAGACATCACTGTGAAGGGGCATATCGTCAACCCTATCAACCTTCCTGATGAAAGAAATAAATTTGCCTCCATGGCAAACCACAGTCACATTGAGAAGGATCAAAACCAATGTTGCAGTCATTGCTGCAAAATAAGAGAAACTCTTTGCACCCAACATATGATGAAGATGTCTTAGCTTCTTGTGCCAGATTTCTGTCACATTTTCCTTGAGTGGAAAACAGTTTGCTCCTCCTCCAATGGTTTTAGAGCAAAGCTTTTCCCTTTCATTTTCACCTTGAACATATCTTGACCAGCTGCATCTTTAATCAAGCAATTTTTGTCTTAAAAAATAACTCTAAATCCTCTTTCAATCAGTTGACCAACACTTAACAAATTTTGGTCAATTTTAAGAACGAAAAGAACGTCTGGAATAAATTTTGTGCCTGCATAGCTTGTAATTGCAATTGTCTCCTTTCCTTTGACTGAGATATAATCACCATTGCCTATTCTGACTTTGGTGATTTCAGTTGGCCTCATATCTCTAAAGAGTGCCTTGTCAAAGGTCATGTGGTTAGTACAACCACTATCAATCAGCCAACTTTCATTTTCTTCACTGCTTGCAAAACAGGTGGCCACAAATAATTGATCTTCCTCCTCCTCCTCCTGTTCAACAACTTTAGCTTCTTCCTCTCGCGGTTGATTTTTGCTCATGCATATGACTGCTTCATGTCCCAGTTGATTGCACTTTATGCATTTAGCATCTGGTCTCCTCCAACATCGAAATGGAGGGTGACCCATTTTGCCACAGTGTTGACAAGGAGGGTAATTTTTCTTTTCACCCTTTCCTTTGTTGTAATTATTTGCACTGCTTTGATTGCTGGCTGGATGATTCTTCTTGTAGTTTTTTGCTTGTTGGCTCATGGCTAGAAGATCACCTTCAATAGCATAATCTTCCCTCATCAATCTTTGTTGCTCTTGGGCCTGGAAGACATGTATCACTTCAACAAGAGTGATTTTAGAAAAATCCTTTGTATTTTCCAAAGAAGCAATAGATGCTTCATACCTTTCTGGTACGATCACCAAAATTTTCTCAACAATTCTGGAATCTGCAAAATTACTTCCCAATAATTTTATCTTGTTGGCAATACCCAACAATTTGTCTGAATACTCCTTGATTGTGTGAGACTCTTTCATCCTTTGAAGTTCAAATTCTCTCATCAAGTTAAGCACTTGCATGCTTCGAATTTTTTCATCTCCAGTATATTCTCTCTCCAGGTAATCCCAAATTGCTTTTGCTGATTTGAGAGTCATGATCCTGGTAAAGAGATGCCAGCATAAAGACATGACTTTGCTTTTGCTTTTCGGGTTTTCTTCTCCTTATGATTTTTTATTTGGGCCACAATGGGATTGTCAGGCAGTGGAAGGATTTCATAATCTTCTTCTATGGCTTCCCAAAGATCTAAAGCTTCTAGGTAAGCCTCCATTTTAACAGCCCAAAGACCATAGTTTTCCCCATTGAAAATTGGACGAGTTGCTTGGGAGAAGCTTGTTTCAGAATCCATTCTAAGGTCCCGTAAGAGAAAAGCTCTGATACCAATTGTTGGTTTTTAGAATCAAAACAGTAGCAGCTTGAAGCTAAAAAGCTTCTGTATTATTGATTGTAAAATAATGAAAAACATTACAATATTTAAAACCTGAAAAAGTAACTACCCACTAACATTTTTATCCTAATTTTAATCCACTACTTCAACCCATAATTAAAAATTAACNACTCCAATGGTTTTAGAGCAAAGCTTTTCCCTTTCATTTTCACCTTGAACATATCTTGACCAGCTGCATCTTTAATCAAGCAATTTTTGTCTTCAAAAATAACTCTAAATCCTCTTTCAATCAATTGACCAATACTTAACAAATTTTGGTCAATTTCAGGAACGAAAAGAACGTCTGGAATAAAATTTTGTGCCTGCACAGCTTGTAATTGCAACTATCCCCTTTCCTTTGACTTGGATATAATCACCATTGCCTATTCTGACTTTGGTGATTTCAGTTGGCCTCATATCTCTAAAGAGTGCCTTGTCAAAGGTCATGTGGTTAGTACAACCACTATCAATCAGCCAACTTTCATTTTCTTCACTGCTTGCAAAACAGGTGGCCACAAATAATTGATCTTCCTCCTCCTCCTCCTGTTCAACAACTTTAGCTTCTTCCTCTCGCGGTTGATTTTTGCTCATGCATATGACTGCTTCATGTCCCAGTTGATTGCACTTTATGCATTTAGCATCTGGTCTCCTCCAACATCGAAATGGAGGGTGACCCATTTTGCCACAGTGTTGACAAGGAGGGTAATTTTTCTTTTCACCCTTTCCTTTGTTGTAATTATTTGCACTGCTTTGATTGCTGGCTGGATGATTCTTCTTGTAGTTTTTTGCTTGTTGGCTCATGGCTAGAAGATCACCTTCAATAGCATAATCTTCCCTCATCAATCTTTGTTGCTCTTGGGCCTGGAAGACATGTATCACTTCAACAAGAGTGATTTTAGAAAAATCCTTTGTATTTTCCAAAGAAGCAATAGATGCTTCATACCTTTCTGGTACGATCACCAAAATTTTCTCAACAATTCTGGAATCTGCAAAATTACTTCCCAATAATTTTATCTTGTTGGCAATACCCAACAATTTGTCTGAATACTCCTTGATTGTGTGAGACTCTTTCATCCTTTGAAGTTCAAATTCTCTCATCAAGTTAAGCACTTGCATGCTTCGAATTTTTTCATCTCCAGTATATTCTCTCTCCAGGTAATCCCAAATTGCTTTTGCTGATTTGAGAGTCATGATCCTGGTAAAGAGATGCCAGCATAAAGACATGACTTTGCTTTTGCTTTTCGGGTTTTCTTCTCCTTATGATTTTTTATTTGGGCCACAATGGGATTGTCAGGCAGTGGAAGGATTTCATAATCTTCTTCTATGGCTTCCCAAAGATCTAAAGCTTCTAGGTAAGCCTCCATTTTAACAGCCCAAAGACCATAGTTTTCCCCATTGAAAATTGGACGAGTTGCTTGGGAGAAGCTTGTTTCAGAATCCATTCTAAGGTCCCGTAAGAGAAAAGCTCTGATACCAATTGTTGGTTTTTAGAATCAAAACAGTAGCAGCTTGAAGCTAAAAAGCTTCTGTATTATTGATTGTAAAATAATGAAAAACATTACAATATTTAAAACCTGAAAAAGTAACTACCCACTAACATTTTTATCCTAATTTTAATCCACTACTTCAACCCATAATTAAAAATTAACTAAATCCTAAAAATAAGGAACTGACTTTGACTCAATTAAAATTAAAAATAAAATATTCCTAAAGCATTTTCTTAACAATATAAAAGAAAGTACTACTTTTCTGTTCAAACTTCAGATGTATTGTCCGTGAGAGAATGCACCTTGGTTCACATTATTTGAAGATCTTGCTTCTCTACAAAAGTCTGCTTTGATTGGGTTCCTTGCTTGTTTCTTCTATTTTTACTTGTGAAGGAGGCTAGTATTTTTCATTTGAAACACTGACCCCAGAGGAACCAAAACTGAAATTGTCCTCGATTTGAATGATTTCAAGAAATGAAAGAGATTGCTAGTATTATTCATGTTTGTGAAAAATAAGAAGTAATATATGATGAGAATGACTTATAATTTTTTTTTTGTTGTTTAAGTAGTGTCCGAGAAGCATGTTTTTAATTTGGATTAAGAATTGTGATTATACATTAATCATATGTTATGAATTTTATACATTTCTTTCTAAACTTTTATTACCCGTATCCTAAATATTTTGAGAATTTATTTGTAATCACAGATAAACATCGCACCTGAATGCATGATTTTTTTTTACAAAATTCAATCTTTTCTAAATAGTAATGTTAATAACTGATAGTGTGAACTTTTGTTATTGTGGCAGTTTGCATCCGGCAGCCTAGATGGTCCTATCAAATATTAGAACACTACTGAAATTGTAAAGTAGACAACATCGATTACGGCTGGTTTTGGCTATCCTGGAATGTGCACATACAAATGGACAATAAGCTGGTTGCAACAAGGATTAACATCAATAGAATTGGCTACCTGCATCGGATTAGAGGCCGACAATAACAATTTTTCTTTTTTATGGTTAGAGGACAGTTTATTATTACTGTTATTGATGACTAAATTCATTGGCAATAGAAGGTGCTTTGATGCACGCCTGATGTTAGAAAAGATTATGTTAGAAAAGATTGGTGGAACAGCTGTATTTAGTTCTATGCGGAGAGTTTGATGTGCTAGATTGTGTTTTTGTAAGCAAATCATTATAATCAATAAATCTGCTTCCATGGTTTTTAATTTTCATAGTCCCAAGTCCTCCCCTAATCATATTTGTAATCAGTGTTTTGCTGTCAAATATCGTGAAGACCTTTAGTACGGAACATGTACTTTTTATCAAAATATTCTTAACACTTCATTCAGCCATTTTAACTACTTATAACTAAGTATTAAATAATTCTTATACTTTTCATGTAATAATTTTACTTTCACCAACTACTTTCACCAACTACTTTCAATTTTACTCAACTAATGTCTACGAACACTCTTAACATTCTTGTAATCATAAAGACAACAAAATAAAGTTGATCACATAAGATGGTGTTGTGATTGTAATAATAATCTTAAATATATGAAAATCTGCTCCATATATCTTGTCTGCACTTACCACTCCTCACTATACTTATCAACTCGCGATCTCAAGGCAAAACACCTATGGGGAAAAGTTAAGTTCCCCAAGCCAAGAAAAGGGCTAGGTTAATCTAGAATGATACAAGTTCTCTTCAACTAAATATTCTTGCAAATCTGCAGTTTGATGAACAAGATCAAAGTTTCACCATAACTAGACCAAATCAGTATGTTTCCTGCTGCTGACCCTTCACCAAATTGATTATGAATATTGGATGCAGTGATGCAATCTAATCTAACTGCAACCAGTTCCAGCAAAAGAGTAGAACCGCCAACAAAAAGATGAAGGATTGATCTCTACTCGGATCAAATGTTCACCACAACCATCTATTCTTTTCCTGGCTGAATGATGCAGGACTAGTCTTCACTTAGATAAAGCCGATCGCCAGTTACGGGTGTTCTTTAAACCTTTTGCAACTCATCATAACATTTTGATCCTGTTGTTCTGATTCTGAGACACTTGTTCATTACTCATGAGATAACACCGGTGAAGTTGATGGCCAGATAGTATTGCTAGTCAAATAAACTGTATGTTCACTTGAAACTGAGAAGCCAGCTACCAGATTACGATTTGGAATTTACAGGAGATTTGTAACTGTCACTATCACAAAAATCAAATCAAACTTTGGTTTGAAGAATGTAATTTCTCGCCCTTGCTGAACAGAAGAGAACAACAACACCAAAATCAAAACTAACAAAGGCACTGATAAAGAAAATCCCCAGAGATATTGGTCCCTCCATCCTATCTTCCCTGAAAGAACTTCCTTGCACAGATTGAGTCCTTCCATCATCACATACGCCACTGGAAGATTCCATGCACAGATCTGGATTTCCAGCAAATGCACCAGGAAATTTCCCATATCCTTGCTTCTGGGGAACATACCCAGAAAAACAGTTGTAAGACAGATTCAAAATGGACAGATCTTGAAGGCTAGAAATGTTTCCTGGAATATGCCCTGACAAGGAATTATGTGACAAATCTAAGGCTTTCAAACTCTGCATTTTCTGCAGACCTGGAAGCTGTCCATAGAGAAAGTTGCATGAAAAATTCAGATATTCTAGGCCAGCCAGACCAAATAAGCCCCTTGGAATCTCTCCATGGAGCAAGTTGCTGGATAAATCGATTCCAACCATTGAGGATAGATGATAAGTGAAACCGAGTTGATTGCTATCAGAAACAACAGCTGAAAATCTCAGTTGAAGGTTTCTTGCTGCAACCAATGGCTCTTTAACAGTGACATTCCTAGTGTTAAATATCAAGCTACCCTTAAAATTAATATCAGGGATGAAGCCAGAAAACTTGTTATGTGAGAAATCCATTGTTTCTATTGCGTCAAATGTGAACAACCAACTAGGCAAATTTCCACTGAACTTATTCTGAGCAAGGGACAAATACCTGAGGTTTGACCATTTCGTTATTGCATCATTCAAGGATCCAGAAAGCTCATTGGAACTAAAATCTACAATCTCGAGAGATTTACATCCTGCCAGAGTGAGTGGGATAGTCCCGGAAAACCTGTTGTTGCTTATATCCAGTATCCTCAAGGTATCCAATGCATCAAACTCCGGTTGAATTACCCCAGAAAGATTGTTGTTATTCAGTATTAGAGCATACAGCTGAAAGCACCCAACAATGCTGAATGGAATGGTACCAGACAAAGCGTTGTGTGAGAAATCAATGACCTGAAGATAGGTTAAATTTCCAATTCTGGCAGGAATTTCTCCAGAGAGAATATTGTGAGAGAGAAACAAGGCCTCCAAAGTTTTCAACTCAGTAATTTTCACAGGAATTTCACCAGAGAATTGATTGTGAGAAAGGTCAAGAAGAACAAGGCCAAGAAGTTTCTCGGAAGTCTCAGCAATTTGACTGGGAATAGGACCGGAAAAATCATTATAACTCAAGTCCAAAACAAGAAGTTTCAATGAAAACACAAGCCTAGGATATATTCTATACTTCAAATGGTTCCCTGACAGGTTCAAATGAGTCAAAGCTTGCAAGGAAGCAATACAAGCAGGCAGTCCCCCAACAATAGAATTATTAGACAAATTCAACACAGTCAGAGACTGAACTGAAGCTGAAAAGCAAGGCAAAGTACCAGCAAACTGATTGGAAGCAAGATTAAGCACAACCAAAGGCTGCCGAAAACCAACCAGATTACCAGACAAGAGATTGTTCCCAAGGTCCAAATACTTGAGGGACTTCAAGTAAAGAAGGCTCTCAGGTATGCCCCCACGGAATGAACACACACCAAGATGTAGCCTTTCCAGATTTGTAGAGAAGTTCCCAATCCAAGCAGGCAGTGGACCACCCAAACCGGGGTTCCCACTCAAAACAAGCTCAGTGAGGTGCCTGAGCCTCATGAAAGAGTCTGGTATCCCACCGTGAAACCTGTTATAGCTGAGATCAATTACTCTTAGGTTGAGCAAATTTCCAAAACATTCAGGAAGAAGGGAAGTGAAGTTGTTGTGGGACAACCCCACCTTGCTGAGGTACGGAAGCTGGCACAAACTGGGGTGGATTTGGCCCGAAAGGCTCATACTAGTTAGGTTGATGGAAAGCACCCTCCCAGTTCTGTTGTCACAGGTGATTCCAGTCCATGAAGTGCAGTTAGAGCCTGCCCAGTTGGACAAACTCTGGTAAGGGTCTTGCAGTCTTGACCTGAACAGAAGAAGAGAGGCTTTATCTTGTAGGAAAACATCAATTGAGAGTGAAGGGGTTGCACAGAGAAGAATCACAGAGAGGAGAGTGAAGGGGTGCCATAGACGGTGCAGGGGTGTGGTGTGTGCCATCACCATCAGCATGAGAGTAAAGGTGCAATTTTGAGGAGGGGGAAGAAGAGTTTGAAGCAAAAAGGGAACTGGGGGGTTGAGGATTTGAAGATTAGAATGAAAACATGATGAAATGGACAGAAAGAGAGAAAGAGGAGAAGGAAAAGAGGAACATCGTCTTACACATTGGTCTTATGTTGGTTGGTTGTGTTGTGTCACGCTGATAAAGTGAGAGTGTTACAGGTAAAAGGAAGAGGGTTTAGGTTTAGATGAACAAAATAAAGTGGCTTTGTTGTGCTTCTTAGTTCTCTCACTTTACTCTCTTTCTCTCTGTTGCCTAACACTTTATCCCTTTTTTAAGTTTCTCTTCTTACTGTGTTGTGTCCCAGAAAACCTTTGTTCTTCTTCTTATATATATATATATATATATATATATATATATATATATATTTGAATGATTACTTCTTTATTTATATATTAGGGAAATACTTGTATGATATGAAATGAAAGTTTCTTATGAATAATCATAAATTGAAAAAATTTAAATGCATACAAATAATTTGTTTTAAAAAATATTTTTTTACTAATATTAAAAAAATTTAAAATTAGACAAAAATAAAAACTTATTTTATTGAGAAACTCTGTGAAATTTTAAAATTTAAGCTATCCCTTATAAATATAGTCACTTAATATATTTAAGAAAAAATGTGTCCTTTTGATTTATTTTTATTTTAATTTTTTTGTAAAAATTTGGTTCTTTTATCCAACTATAAAAAAATATTAAATATTAAATTTATTATATAAATAATTAATGGATTTAAAAGTGAAAATAAAAAACAATGTATTTTGACAAAAATATATATAGGGATTAAAAGTTTAGGTTTATAGAACTGTACTTTTAAAATTATAAAATGTAAAGTTATTTATTGAAAAATTCTATGAATCCCTCGAAAATTTAAAAATGTGTTATTGTTATTTATAGAAATCCAATATTTTGATGTGCCCAAACTCATAATTACTCATCTTCATAATATTATAAAAAAAAAATCAATTTCTCTGACCATCAAGTAAAAACAATGCTTTAATTTGTTTCTTATATATAAAACTACACCTATACATATATCATAGGCTGAACTTTGATTTTAGTTCAGTGTTTTGTAGTTATATTCAATTTGAGCCATTTCTTTTAAGAAAGTTAACTTAAAAAGA